CACCACCCACCAAACAAAAAACGGAGGCTAAATCCTCTCCACAGTCCCTTCTCCCTCCAACTTATACATGTTCAAGAATATATTAAAATACGTATCATGCATACAAAATCTATCCACGGAGTTTCGATGAAAAACCCGCGACAAGTATGTCAGATGGCTCATGAGGATGTGGCATATGTCCATCGGTCTTGACATTTGCATTCTAACAGTTCCAAGGATCTCTGAAGAGGCAAGCTATGTTAGTGAGTATGATTGGTCAGTTCATTAGAAGGAACAAGCAAACCAGATCGGTGAACCAATTCGCTAAGTCAGTTTGGCATGTCAGCTTGACAGGTAGTGCAAGATAGCAGACACATCGACAAATAGGGTTAGCAGGACACTCCAACAACAATCGTATCTTCTAGATAATTTACCTAATCGGCCCACGAGGCCTACCAGACATGGGTTTTGGCCAATAAAGCCTGATTTTTGTTGTGAAAAATCTATATCACCATTCAAAGATTATATACCACTATAAAATCAAACAAATGCTACAGTAGCATAACTATCTCGTACAACATACCCACAATGAATTCTTTTTAGCCATCTTACAAATACATATGACCATTTAATTAACTCCTATAATTCAATATGAGGGCATGATTAATGTTCTAGGTTTTCAACTAGTACGCCCATGACTCTAAACTAATCAATGTTGAATTGGGATTCATTTTAATGTTGTTCACTAAATAAATGCACAAGAAACTATTTAGCAATTTTTTTTATTCCTCGCAATGTCATGCATCGCATTGCACTAGGATACAAAATTATTGAATTTTCAAATTACAATGGTTTGCATCACAATTTACCAGCATTAACAAATAAAAAGGAATATTTCGTTTTCAAAATGCAATTAAATACAATCTCATGTGAATGCACAGTGTTCTGAAGCAAAAGCACGATACCTTAGATCTGAATGCACTTTAAGTATCAAAAGAATCAAATCACGAGTGTTACGTAATAGATGAACTTTTTTATCATACAAACCGATAAGGCTTTGATGCATTTGGTTGTAAATGACACAATCAGAGACAACTAAAAATGAAAGACCTGAAGTCAAAATGTTTCATATAGATTGTACCTTTGAGCAAGTACTGCAGAACCATCCTCAAATAATTCATCCACTGCGTAAGGTTCAAAATAGTTTCTTACTAAAAGGTGAGATGGTGATTCGTACGACTTTTTGTGAAAGAAATTCTTTAAGACCCCCATCCCTTTCTTCTTTGTTTGAACAAATGGAGGTATGTTTTCCGGCGGCAATAAATCAACCACTATACATGTAGTATCATCCCTAAGTCCCTTTACCTGTACAGCTTCCTGCAAGCGAAATGGGAATATTTAGTCAGCAGAAACAATAACTTCTTGTTCATGTAAATAACAAAAAAAGCATTACCATGAGATATAATATTTTGAAGATCATAAATAACAGAGAAAACGTTACTTGGTAGAGAAAAGTGTCAAAATAAAATCCCCTAATTCTTTAGTCTCAGAGTCTATAAAGTGCCAATTTAGTCCACAAACTCATTTAATATAAGCTGAAACACCACCACGGAAGACTATTTTAGCCTCAATTTAAAAAATCTAATACTAATTTGACACTTTTATAGACTTTGGAACTAAAATGGCCACATGTAAACAGTCGGGGGACTATTTTAATGTTGTACTTTTACTTCGTACTACCTTAACAATTTTCTTGGCAGCAATATCTGCTGGATGTCCACGAGAACAATTCAAAGTGGATTCAAAACTCAGAACATCCCACACACCATCACTAGAGATGATAAGTCGGCCACCAGCATTTGATAGCTGCAAAAAAATCCTACAATCAGAGACAGAACACGTTGACATCAAACATAAAGGTTATGCTGAATCAGAATTGTTGACTATCATTAAAATTATCAGGATAAACTTGAACAGATAGATAGCAAACTTTATGGGCATCATATGTTATGGTCAACCATATGTGCCTGATAACCAGAAAAAATTAGAAAAAATATTCATAAAAAAGAATTATCAAGCTCTGGTGCACAAATTTGTATCTATAAATATAAGATATTACAACATGTGACATGATATAAGTTACAAGTTCGGAAGTAAAGCCAAACGGAAGTACTAAACAAAATATGCATACCAAAAAGTTGAATCAACAAAGACAACGTCTACACATTCAAAGACGTCACGGCATCTGAAAAGATAAATACAATGTTTCGCAACAAAAAATTAAAATGATACAAAGTTATTTCACAATTCATGTGTCTCTAAGAAAATATAAGATTAAAATCATGCATTCTCTTTAAATCATTAAAATTAGTGGCATGAACAACTTTACGAATTGTTAAGATTATTGGATCATCCATACATACATGCATACACGTGAGCAGTGGAAGTCCTCTACTAAACCAGTCGCCCCAATATCTATGTGGCGCCCCATGGCCCAGTTCTAAATAGAAGTCCAGAGCTACAAGTGGTACCCAGGCGCCAGCTTTAGAGCCCAGAACTCTACAGAACAAAGCGCTTGGAATTCCAGTGCCTAGAAGGGATAACATTTGTTTAAAGGTCCAAAAACAGAGACACTTGAAACTTGGTGCACGGGACAGACAAACCTGTGCCCAGAAAAACTACGCCAAATAGGAAAGGCAGCACCTGCGAGTGGCGCTCCAGCACTAGAAGCAGTTTATCATTCAATCGGGATTTAAGTCCTCGACTACTATAGGATGAATGTATCTCTCAGCAGCACGTGAAACAAGAGCAGGACAAGGCAAGCGGTGCAGTGTGTTCTGTATTGAATTTCTGCAGTTTGCTCTTGTACAATCATGAATTCCAGGCTTGTAAAGAGAAACTCTGAGTGTGGTATAATCTACATATTTCTCCTCATTTCATAGTAAAATTTTATGTTTGGTGTGAATCCATGGTTTTTACTTCCCTAAGTTTTTCACGTTACATCTTGTGATTTTTGGATTTCTTGGGTTATGCATTTTTATTAAATTTTTGTGTTCCATGTCTCTCCGATCAAAGTGTTTTTCCACATTGTTATTTGGTTGTGAATTGATTGAAACATGTTTTTCGTCCCAACAAGTGATACCAAAGCGGAGTTTTCTGAAGACCTTTGATTTGAGTGGAGGTAATAGTCGCCAAAGCGAGGTACAAGGTAAAAAAGTTCAACGATTCGAATTTTGCATCTTGGAAAATACAAGTTGAAAATTTGTTGTATCAAAAAAAAATTGTATCTGTCACTGGAAGGAATCACCAAAAAATCTGAATCTATGACTAAGAGAATGGGAAGTGTTTGATCAAACAGCCCTATGTTTGATCTATTTTTCACTTTCCTCATTTGTTGCTTTCAACAAAGTGAATGAGAAAATTATGATGGTTCTCATGGTTGCATTGACAATGATATATGAGAATCCTTTAGCTTCAAATATTTTTTTTTTTATAGAGAAATTAAACAGCATGACGACGGTGGAAGGGAGTTCGGTGGCTAAACATTTGAATAATTTTAACACTGTGATAAACCAATTGTGTTTTGTGGGCATCAAGTTTGATGCTGAAGCCAGACACTGTTAATTTTATTTTTATTTTCAAACAATTGAAATGGACTGGTTATGGCGATGAGTAACTCTTTAGGTAATATGAAGTTAAACTTTGATGACATCTTGATGTTAGTGCTGAAAGACAAAGTTCACAAGATGATGAACGATGAAACTTCAATTTATGCATTGAAGTTTGATAACAGAAAAATGAATATGGATGAGTAATAGGCATAGACAAATAGAAGTCCAAAAGACAAAAATCCAAATCAAGAAGAGGAAATGACAGAAGTTAATGTTAAAACTGTGGGAAGAAAGTTTATTTCATGGACTGCTCCAAAAAAGGCTGGAAAAAGGTTGATGGTAAAGGTCAAGACAAAAATCTCTTTAAATTTGTCTCCACAAGTGAAATCCAATGTGACTACCAAGTTTTATCTCTGGACCATACTGAATTTTAGATAGTATATTTAGTAGTCTTTTCAGAATAATCTTTGGAAGGTGTATTTGGGAGATAATAAAACCTGTAATGTTGCAAAAAAGGGTCTGGACCATACTGAATTTTAGATAGTATATTTAGTTGTCTTTTCAGAATAATCTTTGGAAGGTGTATTTGGAAGATAATAAAACCTGTAATGTTGCAAAAAAGGATGATGTTGATAGCATGTTGTCAAATAGAACGATTTGGAAGCTCAGTCAAGTTAGACATGTTTCAAATTTGAAGAGAAATTTAATCTCAGTGAGTCGGCTTCTGTAACACCGAATTTTGAGAAATCACGTAAGAAGTTTGGCATTTGAAAAAAATACCCCAAATTTTGTATCTCTCGGAATTCGACATGTAAAATTGATTTTATTAAATTTTACATGCCAAATCGTTCAAATTGAGAAAAAACACTATGAATTATGAATATAATAGGAAATATAAAAATAATAAGATATTGACATAATTAAACTAATTAAGCATCTAATTAAATCCTTAATCTTTAATTATTTCCACCGACTATTTTCAGCGATTCTCAATAGTGGGATGCAATGAAAAGGTTGGCATTAATTATGAGGATAAATATGCATGGGAAACTTAGAATTCCATTCCTTTCTTTCTTGATTTGTCAATTTCATGCACCTGGAGGTTTCCCGCAACCTTGTTACTGTAGCAGGCACAATCTACGCACAACAGAAATCCACAGCTCACAACAAAAAATTTCAAAGAGATTTTGGTAAGCAGAAATCCACAGCTCACAACAAAAAATTTCAAAGAAATTTTGGTAAGAAACTCAATTTTTTAATATTTCGAACATTCATTTCATTCCTTACAATTTCATTTTGACATATGCTACGAATTCAAGAATTGCATGTGTTTTCTATTGTTGTTGCTTTGCGGGGAACGGGACTGTCGAACCGATAAGTTTATTTTATGAGTTGGGAAGGAAGAAGAAGTCGCAGAATAGAAAAGTATATGTCAGACATATTTAAGCCGAGAAAGCCCTTTTGAGGTAAGTTAAATCAGAAAATCATATTTGGGGCTAAATTAAGGGCTTAACTACAAATTTCATGAATTTATAAGAGTATTATGAATTCCTCTTTATTTATAGTAGGCAGAGAGTTTGAGGTGAACTTGGAGAAACTCGTCATAGGGTTGTTTCGTCAATTCAATTGAAATAATCTTATGCTACTTAAAAAACATAACTCTCTATGGATTTCCATGTGATTATCCTTGACATTATTACATTTAGAATTTTTTACATATTTTGGATGAATATTTGGCTTGACTGTATGAATGCAAACTTGATTTGCCTCTTACAATGCATATGACTTTGTTAAGCTATGAATCTTAGGAATATGTTTATAAAATTATTACTTATAGGTTTTTGTTTACTATGATTCAAGCAAAGATATATGAAATGTCTATAATAAATACTTGTTACAGGAATTGTGATTTAAGAAACATCACAAGTGATGTTATCAGTAGGTTTTTACATGAATACTTGCAAATACGGATGGTGATTAACGATGGGATTCCCGATTCCTAGCACTAAGATAGAGAAGAAACCCTGATATCCGTTGAGATCAAATAAGAATGGAATGTAGGAAACCGTTGATATCAGAGGGAATTGATAACTGCTATATGTGAAAGGACCCAATCTTTATCAACATTTATCAATAGTTTATGTAGCATTCGGGCTGAGTGACAACTCATAACATGACATGAAATAAATGAGGTCTATACAATTATAAATAAAGAATCTATTATTAGATTGAAAAATATTATGAACAAGTTTAAGATTACACATGAATAGATGAAATAAATATTTTATACAACATTCTTAATTATTTGCATTACATGTGTTTTATTTTATATATTTTATACAATTGTAGCATGTTCTGTCATTTATTGTAAACATGTACATGAGTTACAAATGAGCGTGCACATTGTTTCTTTTTCATCTATAAAATCATATTTTAGCATTGATTATTTCACTGAACTTGTTGTAACTCGCTCTACGTTGTTGATTTTCAAAAGTGATAAGGAGCAAAAGGGCGGGTAGTGAGGTGTGAAATGTACAGGTTTTGCATTTCATAATTTATGGAGTTTGTATAGCTTTTGGGTATGTACTTTAATTATGTTGAATTTAGTAGTTTTGTATAGATATATATGTTTAGGTGTGATTTTACACATTTCCGAGTATATGTGAGAATGATTTATGAAATTAAATATATCAAGTATGTTTATCGTGATTTAATTAGACAAGTTCAACACCTACTAGGTCATAATTTCGTAAGTCATGATGAGTGTTGATGAAAATTTAGCTAACTGAATCGTCTGCTTATGTCACATCACAATTAACCATTAGAGGGGACCAGCTGGGGTATGATAGAAAGTGATAACATAGGCAGATTATTAAATGAAAAGAATGATGGAAGTGTGTTGGGATTAGAACAAGTAAAAATGAGATCAAATATGAATTGATTTATACAAAGCTATAGGTTGATAGATCTTATGTGAGTAACCAATATGACTTAAGGTATCATGCATGCACGAAATAATTTTTATAATAAATTATATTTGAATAATAGAATGTGTCAATTCAGATGAATATACTAGGAGAAGAATCAGAAAATATAAAGGGTCGGTATCCTATGCCAACTACAGAGCAAGAAGTGCAAGCTGAAAATGTTTTGAACACAAATGATAATCAGAATAGTAACTAGAACCACTAAGTTAGAGGGCATTACGTAGTTTATATCGCAAGTTGTTAACAAAATGGTTGTTATTGAAGGATC